TTGGCTGCTGACACCATGACTGTTACCACTTTGCAATCACTGAGGGAAAGGCAAAGAGAATCTTAGTGACCCCAGCCCTGACCAGTGCCAATAACTACCTACCCCTAGATGTCTCAGTATGGAAAAAAATAAACCTTGAGTTAAGCCAGAGGGGATTCTTTTACTTGTGGCCCAAAGCATTCTTGACTGATAGTCCACTAACTGGTTCCCCTGTTTAAGTCTCACTGCAGTGTTCCATTCTTCACAACCTAGACTAGAATAACCTTTGTAAAATGCAAATTTGATCCTGCTACTTCCCTAATTAAATCCTCTGCTGGCTCTCCACTGTAGAGGATAAAGTTCAGACCCTTTTGCATGGCATGCAGACCTTCCACAATCTCTGGCTGCCTGTTCTTCTAGCCTCGTTCCTTGGCACTGTACATCACAGACACGTTTCCAAGTAAACATGATCTTTCATGTTTTCCTGGCCTGTGCTGTTTCTTCTGCCTGAAATACCTTCTTTTCTTCATCTTCCACCCTCCTCTCTTAGAGCTCTATCTTTTATATCCTTATCCTTAAGGTTCCATTTCCTTACTAATTTTTTTTTTTATCACAGTCACATTTTTATTGTCTTTTCTTCTCATCAGACTATGAACATCTCTGTGATTTTTCTTACTCACCTTTGTCTTCCCAATATTGGGTAGAGGAATTGGATTCAGGGAATTGTTTGTAAAATGAATGAATGAATGAATGAATGAGTGCCCTGAACCCGGGGCCTTGATTCTCTCTATCATTGTTTCTCATAATCGCATGGGTTCTCTGAAATTCATCTTCTTCATATGTAAAACAAGGGTAAATGATCTTACCTTTGTCTAGATCATAGGGCCATTTGAAGTTCAAATGAAATTATATGTTTGTATCAGCTCTGTAATTTCAAAAACAGCACTGACCTCAGTGATAGGCAGACACAGATTAAAATCCATGGATCTACTAATTTACAAATTTGAGCAAGTTAGGCAAACTCTCTGAGCCTCAGTTTATTAAACTGGTAGAAAGCTAAATTAGAAAGCACTACTACGAACAAAGCTAGTGGAGGTGATGGAATTCCAGTTGAGCTATTTCAAATCCTGAAAGATGATGGTGTTAAAGTGCTGCACTCAATATGCCAGCAAATTTGGAAAACTCAGCAGTGGCCACAGGACTGGAAAAGGTCCGTTTTCATTCCAGTCCCTAAGAAAGGCAATCCCAAAGGATGCTCAAACTACCACGCAATTGCACTCATCTCACACGCTAGTAAAGTAATGCTCAAAATTCTCCAAGACAGGCTTCAGCAGTACATGAACCGAGAATTTCCAGATGTTCAATCTGGTTTTAGAAAAGGCAGAGGAACCAGAGATCAAGTTGCCAACATCTGCTGGATCATCGAAAAAGCAAGAGAGTTTCAAAAAAACATCTATTTCTGCTTTATTGACTATGCCAAAGCCTTCAACTGTGTGGATCACAATAAACTGTGGAAAATTCTGAAAGAGATGGGAATACCAGACCACCTGAACTGCCTCTTGAGAAACCTGTATGCAGGTCAGGAAGCAACAGTTAGAACTGGACATGGAACAACAGACTGGTTCCAAATAGGAAAAGGAGTACGTCAAGGCTGTATATTGTCACCCTGCTTATTTAACTTATATGCAGAGTACATCATGAGAAATGCTGGGCTGGAAGAAGCACAAGCTGGAATCAAGATTGCCGGGAGAAATATCAATAACCTCAGATATGCAGATGACACCACCCTTATGGCAGAAAGTGAAGAAGAACTAAAGAGCCTCTTGATGAAAGTGAAAGAGGAGAGTGAAAAAGTTGGCTTAAAGCTCAACATTCAGAAAACTAAGATCATGGCATCTGGTCCCATCACTTCATGGGAAATAGATGGGGAAACAGTGGAAACAGTGTCAGACTTTATTTTTGGGGGCTCCAAAATCACTGCAGATGGTGATTGCAGCCATGAAATTAAAAGACGCTTACTCCTTGGAAGGAAAGTTATGACCAACCTAGACAGCATATTAAAAAGCAGAGACATTACTTTGCCAACAAAGGTCCGTCTAGTCAAGGCTATGGTTTTTCCAGTGGTCATGTATGGATGTGAGAGTTGGACTGTGAAGAAAGCTGAGCGCCGAAAAATTGATGCTTTTGAACTGTGGTGTTGGAGAAGACTCTTGAGAGTCCCTTGGACTGCAAGGAGATCCAACCAGTCCATCCTAAAGGAGATCAGTCCTGGGTGTTCATTGGAAGGACTGATGCTGAAGCTGAAACTCCAATACTTTGGCCACCTCATGTGAAGAGTTGACTCATTGGAAAAGACCCTGATGCTAGGAGGGATTGGGGGCAGGAGGAGAAGGGGACGACAGAGGATGAGATGGCTGGATGGCATCACCGACTCGATGGGCATGAGTTTGAGTAAACTCCAGGAGTTGGTGATGGACAGGGAGGCCTGTCGTGCTGTGATTCATGGGGTTGCAGAGAGTCAGACACGACTGAGCGACTGAACTGAACTGAACTGAACTGAGAAAGTGAAAGTGAAGTTGCTCAGTCGTGTCCAACTCTTTGTGACCCCATGGACTATAGCCTACCAGGATCCTCAATCCATGGGATTTTCCAGACAAGAATACTGGAGTGGGTTGCCATTGCCTTCTCCAGGGGATATTCCTGACCCAGGGATCGAACCTGGGTCTCCCGCATTGTAGGCAGACATTTTACCATCTGAGCTACCAGAAGGTTGTGTATAAATCTGTGGGACTGTGATGAGGAAAAAATGAGATACCGGGTGTGAGAATTTCTGGCTGATAATTGGGGCTCAGTAAATATTAGCTGAAGTGTAGGTAAGGAGGTCTTCAATCCTGTTGGGATCCCAATTGGGATGCCCAGTTTCTGAAACCAAGCAGGACCCTGTGGGGCTCTTGGGTATTAAAGCCTTTCTGTGTCCCCTTCCCTGAGTTCTAAAGAACTGGTTCAATCAGTTGCTAATCAGGAAAGGGATAGGATGCAGAGATGAGCAGGGAGCAGTCAAAAAAAAAACAGTGCAACCTTGGGGCAGTGTTCTGGTTCTACCTCAAGGGATATACCAAACATCTTTGGCCTCCTCTGTGGAACTAAAGTCTCCACCAAATGGAAGATGGTAGCTACTTGATGATACACTCTTCTTTCCATAGAAGGCCACAGTTTGCCTGACACCTGACACTAGATCATCTCTGGATTGAAGAAATGTGAGCCCTTAATAATAGTAATTATCATAGTGGTATTTGCCAAATTGTCGTTTTTCTATTCTCGTCATTCTTTCTACATTTCTTGCTTGGAATTCTACTGTAACAAAGAACTGTCCTTTAACTCCACTTCATTATTTATCCAACCATTGATTTATATCAGTATGGCATCATGTTTATTTACTTTACTCTCTGGATTATAGTCCATGACTATCTTTTATTTTGTTGCTCAAATTACTCCACACTTGGCTACTGAGAGACTCTTAACATTGGCTGTTTTGTCCTTCAGACATTTATTAAAAATATATAAGAAAATGAGGAAGACTACAATAAACCCTGTAATTCTGCACTGGAATTGGAGGTATCACTATGAGCTCATGATTTTTAACACATATACAGATAGATGAGTGCAGACAAAGATATAGATGTGTGTATGTTCATACATATATTTTCTAGTTCTTTTCCCTGAAAGGATCTAGAAGCAATGGGGACATCTAGAACCCAGATCTTAGTTTCTAAATATCACTCTCCAAAAAGATGATCCACTGATACTTGATGAGGAATTCCAGGGTGAAGACAAGGAAGAAACAGATTTGCCTAAAACATCTTGTGGTGGTAAAATGTCAGGAAGTACTAAAAAAAATGGTGGGGGCATGCTAAAAGGACAGAAAATTTCATGTGAATGTTAGAATTCCAAACAGTAAACATAGAAGAAGGAAAGGTAGAAATAGAAAAACAACAATTTGGCAAGCAGCACAGTAGTAATTGTAATAATTGTTGCAGGCAAGTATCATCAATGGATGCTAAAACTAATGGAAGAAAGTATGATGAGAAATAAGACATCTTATTTGCATAGTCTCAGAGTACTTTTCCCCTGTGTTTCCTTTTCTGACAAGGAGAAATATGGCTCTTTTATACATAATACAGGTGCTTATTGTTCAATCTAGTATTATACATAAAGTAAATTCAGAATGCTAATCCATAAACATGAAAAACACATTCATCAAGTAGAATTTGTCACTAGCCTTTGACAGCATAAGGTAAAAATACTTTTTAAAAAGTCAACCTTACTTAGATTAGTTCTTTTCTTCCCTATGCCTTTGAGTGTGGTTGTGTTACTCATTTTTAATAAAGCTAGGTTTATCTTTCACTGTTTGTATTCCAATTTGGATCCTTCTACACTCCTCTTCCAAACATACACACACATTCTGGTTGTTATTAGTTTGTTATTTACATAGTACTTTTATGGGTATGTGAAACATTACCATGGTTCTAAAATAAAATCTGAGCTATACAGAAAAGGTAAACTCAGCCAAGTTCCCTACCAACCTCACCCGTACTCCCAACTCTGTTCCCGTTTCCCTGCTTTTACAACAGCTTTCCCACCCAACTTCTGTAGGTATTAATCACACTAGTTTTTGGTTTACCCCTCCTGTGTTTCTTTTTGCACAAATGGGAGACACACATGCATTTTCTTAGAGTTTCTTCTCTCTTGCATGAAAGGCAATGTCTTACAGATAGGAAGACCATTCTGGCTGCTGGGTGGAGAGGGACTGGAGGCAGGCTCGGGCGGATGTGAAGAGAATACTTGGGGAACTGCTGCTGGGGGCCAGGAGAGAGGCAGGGGCACCGGGGCAGCTCCAGTGGTAGCAGAAGAGGAGAAAAGACAGCAGGTGTGGGTGATGTTTGGAGGTGATGTTGTCATAATGTGGTGACTGATTACTGACTGTGATGTCATGGATGAGGCTTTGGTTACTGACTGACTGACTGGATGGATGCTAGTGTGGTTCATGGAGACAGAGAACATTTAAAGGGTCAGCTTTGGTGAGAGGTCTCCCAAGCAGGTCTGCGTTTGGACATGCGAACTTTGAAATGGAGCAGCTGAGGCATAAAGTACAGAGGGGAGGTCTGAAGAGTAGTTTCTCAAGCTGTGAGTTCTGCCCTGATCTTCTGGACACTCAGGTCAGGAAGCAAGTACGGTAGTGTGGGGGGTGGGATCCAGTGTCTAATTCCAGTGTGACACCAGTGGGGTGTCTTACAGTTTAACCCAAGCCTGGCACTATCCACCCTGAGACAGCATCCAGTTCCACAGGTCGAGGGTTCAGTCCCACAAGACTGCCCTTTGCTTCTGATGCCAGTCCCAAGCCCAGCGCTTCACCCGTGCTTCTGACTGCCTGGCTATAAATCAGAGGTTCCTGTGACTTCTTCCTTAGGTTCCATTCATTTGCTAGAGTGACTCACCTATCTCAGGAAACCAGCTTACTCACTGGATTACTGGTTTACTACAAAGGAGAATAAGGGATACGAATCAACAAACAGATGAAGCGCTGCATAGGGTGAGGTCTTGTACAAAGGAACTTCTGTCCTCATGGAGTTTGGGGCCTGGCACAGTGGCACTTGGAAGTGTTCTGCTTCACCAACCTGGAAGCTCTCTGAGACTCATCCTCTTGGGTGTTTATGGAGGCTTCATTGCTCAGCCATGACTGATTAAATCCTGGCTAGAGGTAGGGCTAAAAGTTGGCTCCCTAGGTGACAAAGCCCCATCCGTAGGTTCTATAGGGACTTTCCAAAAGTCCCTTCATTAATACAACAAAAGACACCTTTATTGCTCTCATCAAAGGAAATGTTTTAGAAGTTTTATGACAGAAAAGGGGATGAAGACCAAATGAAAATGAAAGTCACTCAATCGCGTTTGACTCTTTATGACCCCATGGACTGTGTAGGCTGTGAGGCTCCTCTGTCCACGGGATTCTCCAGGCAAGAATATTGGAGTGGGTGGAGAAGGAAATGGCAACCCACTCCAGTATTCTTGCCTGGAAAAGTCCATGGACAGAGGAGCCTGGCGGGCTGCAGTCCATGGGGTTACATGACTGAGCATGTGTGCACGAGGGTGGAGGGAGATGGGTTGGTAGCAATAAAGTGGTAGAACTAAAAAAAAAAAACCAAAAACCATGGAAAGTTTAGAGATGACTAATTCTAGGAGATTTTTAAAAATTACTTTTTAAAAAACAAAGGGTTATTTTCACATTTAGCTACATAGATAAACTGAAATAAGGATCAGTTAAAGATGTGATTGCTCCTTAAGTGAAATGTCCCACATATATTAATTTTAAGGACTGTGTCTACTCCATTGGAAGTCACAGACCATGTTTTATTTCTATTCCTGGTAACACAGGACCAATTCTTACAATTCATTGTTGCATAACAAGTAATGAAAAAGTGCTCTTATCAAAACTTAAGAAAGGACTAACACCTAAGAATTCTGAGGTTTAAATAATATAGTACACAGTTAGCATGACTGAATCACAGAGAATGTAAATGGAAAATTTTCTGAATATCTGTATTGTTTTAAAGAGAAAAGGAGACATAACAGAGGCTGATTGGACCTTTCTTGTGATTTACATGATATCTATTTTGGAGACATGACAGATTATTCATATTAATCATTCATTGTTTTACTTGTAATCTCTTTTAAAAGGAAGTGAATCATCCATATACCTGCTGTTTATTATGTTGGAGATATGACTTAAGTTTACAGCAGAAAACAGATATTGCTTAGGTTAAGAATCTTGATTTTTTATTAAAGAGAAAGATGTGACTTTTCAGCAAAGCCGTCATAAAACAGAAGGAATATGAACAATATAATTAGTTTGACTTTCCCCTCAAGTCCATGGATAACCTTTGCACTATAACTCTTGACTCAATCCAGAATTTTACCCAGGACCAAGAAGTAATGCAGACAAGCTTCTCAGAGCCAGTGCTACTGTGACAAAGTCCATGCACTGGCTTTCCTGGATACTCGCTGGAGAATTCCACAGACCATCACTTGGAACCTGTACTTCACTTGAGATGATTCTAAGCCTAGCTGGTTGGTTTCTCTCAATAGATTAAATCCAAACAAGAGAAGGAAGTAAAAAACTACCATCAGCAGGAAAACAACAGCAGGAGAGGAAGCAGAAAACTAAAAAGCTGGCACAAAGACATTACTTAGTAGAAGGACAAACAGCTCCTCACCCTGTAAGACATACCTGTATTGTAACACTGGGCAATAAATAAGGTTGATCCTTGTGGCTCCAAGTTACACAGAAAAAGGTAAATAAGTATATTGTATCCAAGAAGTATATGAAACGTATGTATTGAAATGTGTCATCTATTTTATGAGAATTTTAAACTAAGAGTCTTAATACAAAATTTTACATAGTTGATGGTCTAGCAATAAATTCTTAGGTAAATGAAACAACTGGCCAATTAAAACAATACTTTTTTCAAAAAAATAATAAAAAATAAAAAAATAAAAATAAAACAATACTTTTTTCAGATTTCTGAATGGCCAGATTTGGTCCCAAATTCATGCAACGTGAAGAATAGAAAAACTCTCTTAGTTGCTATCTTAATTACCTCAGTTATTGAGTATAGAGATGTCTCATTGAACTATTCTTGAAAATTAATTTTTGTAAAGTACTTGGACATCTTTTGTGACAATATGAGATAAAACAAAGATGTTATTTAAAAAAAAAAAAAGAATATTGGAGTGGGTAGCTGTTCCCTTCTCAAGGATATCTCCCTGACCCAGGGATCAAACTGGGGTCTCCTGCATTGCAGGCGGGTTCTTTACCAGCTGAGCTACCAGGGAAGCCTGAAGACCAAATATAAGTTTTCAATTAAAAATCTCAAGTAGATACTCCAGCCCTATGCAGAAGAACAAAAACAAACAAAACCTTGGTAGTCATCCCAACTTCTTCTTGCAAGAGGCTGGCTCCTCAGAGCAGAGTGCCTGCCAGAGGATGTGTTCCAGCCGGTGAGGTCAGAGGCACGGGGCAGTCCCTGCCTCTCAAGGTGGAGGTGGAATGGCAGAAGATTAGGGGCTAGAATTGTGCCTGATTTCCAAGTCTCAATGAAAAAGTCAACTGCCATATCAGTAAACAAAGGATGTTGCAGCCATCAAGCCATCACAGCACAGCCCCCCTGTGGGTGAGCCCCGAGGAAACTCAGGGTGGAAACAGATGCCCATCATCAAACAGTCAGTCACTGCAGCCTCCCCTCCCTCCAGTGAGGTACCCTGAGGCAATCCAGGATGAGAAAGCACAGGATACTGGTCCCAGAAAACTGAGGTGCACAGTGAAGGGATTATTTCAAGGAGCCCAGCTTCCTTTTTTTTATTTTTTATTTTTTTAAATTTTTATTTATTTATTTATTTTTGAGCCCAGCTTCTTGCATCTTCCCATACACAGAAAAGTGCTACCTCCTGGACTTGAGATACGTAGTTTTCTTTAACTAATGGTAATCTTTCGATGTTCCAGCTATCTGGTCTTTGTTGCAAAAACTATGTATCCTGCTTGCTCTCTTTTCTTTTCAGAGCAGTCTCTCTCCTGGGCTTAAGTCTTCAATTTCACCCACCAAATAAAATATAATTCTCACCTTGTGGGTTGGGCAATTTTTTTCAGTCAATAGAAGTCACCCTAAAATGTTAATGATACCATATTTGAATTCACTTCAACTAGACGATAGTCCCACAGTTCACAAGACCTAGCTGGGGCCTTGGCTCACACAGAAGAGCCCCCACCTGAAAACCAGTGGTGTCATGGGAGAGGAGACCAAGCTTCTCCCCTTATCCATGGAGAGGGAGCAATCCNCTTCAACTAGACGATAGTCCCACAGTTCACAAGACCTAGCTGGGGCCTTGGCTCACACAGAAGAGCCCCCACCTGAAAACCAGTGGTGTCATGGGCAGAGGAGGCCAAGCTTCTCCCCTTATCCATGGAGAGGGAGCAATCCGAAGGAGGCCCTGCTGAAACCCTTGGGAAGAGTGTAGTGGGGTCCGTGTGAGCGGGAAGCATAGATGCTGCAAGACTCTTGTGTTGAAATTTCTTGAGTAGTCTCTTGGGGCAGATGTTCAGAGCGTGAGTATAGATGGAGGCGAAGGTTTCCTGAGTGCGCTGTAACACAGCAGGAGGCACGGGGGGGAAAAGGGCTGGCAGTAGGTGGTGCGCCTCAAGTTAGGTCCCTTGGCATCTCGCACTCAATCTTCAGTTAGAAACTCAGGCAACAAGAAGAAGCATAACCTTGGTTCCCCTCGGGAATCAGTAAGAGGCCTGGGCTTTGGGGACAGCGAGGGTACTCCTGGGTGGGCAGCACGTGGGATGGGAAGGCAGACAGGCGCAGGGAGGCCCAGAAGCAGCATCACAGATTCGGAGGGAACACAGGGGCATCGGAAGCGGGAGGCCTGATGCAGGAGCTTCCGGAAACTGGACAAGGGCTTTTGACTGTTTGGGGTTGAGGAATTTAGGTGCAGGCTAGGATTAACCCAGTCCTCAAGGGGAAACCCTTTGGCATCTGAATAACATGTGTAGATGATAATAACAATAATATTTACTGAGCACTGTGCTAAGTGTTTTTTACATGTAGTCTCTCATTTACTTCTATGCTCATAAGAACCGCAACAGGCTTTGTTATTGCTTCTATGGGATTCAGTCCATTAAAACGTCATTCTTTGTACTCCATTTTAAACTAAGTGGCTTTTGAGCTTTAAAAAGAAATCCATTTCTGATTATTTTGAAATCTGGATACATGGTAAGTGGTGAATAAAGACAATGCTCCAGATAGGCAATGAGCAAGGGAGAATGATGGCTGGGATTTAGAACATCATCTGTTTTTACTCACTTGCATGCTAAGTCAGTGATGGTGATGGTGATGGTGATGGTGATGGTGATGATGACTCCTGAAATTCATAGGCCCTCATATCAGAAGGGATTTGGAGAGGTCTTCCAGTATATCTTCTTCAACTAACAAATGCCTGATTCATTCCTGAAAGATGCCTACCTTATTTTACAAAATGCCCCAGGAATCTTGAAACCTCTGTCTTTTCCTAATTTTCAAAAATTACTTAATTTTTGGCTATGCTGGGTTAGGTTAGGGCTGCTGTGCATGGGCTTTCTCTAGCTGCAGCAAGCCAGGGCTACTCTTCGATGGGGAGTGCGGGCTTCCCATTGTGGTGACTTCTCTTGCTGCAAAGCACAGGCTCTAGGCACTGGGGCTTCAGTAGCCGGCAGGTTCAGTAATTGCAGCGACTGGGCTCTAGAGCACAGGCTCAGTAACTGCGACCCACGGACTTAGGTGTCCCTTGGCATGTGGAGTCTTCCTGGGCCAGGGATCAAACCTGATCCCATGCATATGCAGGCAATTCTGAACCACTGGACCACCAGGGAAGACCTTTCCCTGGATTTTAGTCAGAGTTCCCTTCTTTTATATGTTCTTTTCCTCCATTTAAAAAAACAGCAACAAATAACTATAGAATAGCATAAGGCTTCCTTCCTAGCTCAATTGGTAAAGAGTGTGCCTACAATCAACCCAGGTTCAATTCCTGGGTCGGAAAGATCCCCTGGAGAAGGAAATGGCAACCCACTCCAGTACTCTTGCCTGGAGAATCCCATGGACAGAGGAGCCTGGAAGGCTACAGTCCATGGGGTCGCAAGAGTCGGACGCGACTGAGTGACCAAGCACACAGCACACACACAGAACAGCATGTTGCATTTTTTCCCTGAACCACAGCAGAAGGAAGTTAAAGGAAGCAAAAAGAAGTAAATTATATGGTCATGGGCAACAAGAGATTGATGATAAATGGGAAGCTGGGTTTGGGGATAGAGACGCTGGAAATAACTAGTTTAGCTTCCACCAAGACAGAAATGCCAGATTCACTCTGATTCTTTGTTTTCAAATTCTGGGAACCATGGTGTGGGTAAAGTTGAGTCACTTGGAGAGTCTGCCAAAACCTACCTGTTTCTTTGGACTTTTATTTGCAGCAAGATTTCTCTGATTTCTTCAGAGCTGAACTGAGTGAGCTCTTGGCTTCCAGCGTTGTACACATTTGCTGCCTTTGAGAAGGGATATTACTATCACTTATTGAATTTCTACACTATGTCAAGCACTGAGCTTTGAAATTTCATATAATTTGTTCATCTCAGCCACCTGGAAAGGATTATTATTCCCACCTTGCAGATGAGAGCTCTGATGTTCAAAAATTAAAGTGCCATCCCCATGGTACCCTGACTGGTAAGTGATGGAGGTGGATGGAGCTCAGCTGTATATGCTCCATAATCACTCACGTGAAGATCAGGAGGACACAGTGTCTGCTTGCCTCCCTAGATTCTGATTGAGGTGGTCATGCTTCCTCCTGCGCATCTCTCTGGTCTCCTCCTCTAGTTTATGAAACTACAGCTTCGTATTCTGCCAAGGATGAAGTGTTTCATCTCACATATTTGCACGTATTTGAATCTTTACTGTCAGCTCTAACTCATAACATCAAGTTGGGCCTGTTCTGCAGTCTTTGACTTGTCTTTCTTCCATGGGATGAACACTAACTTTTGCATACCTATTCACCCCCCAGGGTGGCATTTGCCAGACCACACATTCCACTCTGGACGGGGCCAGCTAAGAGCTGACTGGGCCCATCCCTTGGCCCGTGTGTAGGACAGTGTGTGTGCCTGAAGAATGCCCAGGGTGGCATATGAGCTGTGATTCAGAGGGGTAGCTGCCAACACACCTGAGGGCCCAGGCCCCACTCTGCTGGGCTGAGGAGGAGCCAGCTCCTCTGGCAGATGGTCTGGTCTCAGTAAGACTGCGCCAGGCAGGGTATAGCGAAGAAATAAGGCCGTGTGGAAACAGAGTTGTCACTGTGGCCTTTAAAATCAGATGAACGGCCTTTACAAACTTCTGCCCAAAAAGGGATAAGAATAACCCTGACCCCTCTTCCAGCTCTTCCTCAATCACTTAAAGTTGAATGAAGAGCAATCCTATTTGGAACAAGAAGATGGATACAATTCAGGATGGTGGATGCCGTCTCTGGGTTCCTTTGACCTTCTTCAAAATGAGGACAACTGGCTTTGGATTTATTATCCAATTATTTATTGGATATTATTTATTTATCATCCAATTATTACACAATCCTTGAATCCCAAAGACCATCCCTAGAGCAAAACATGCTCTTTGAAGGCTGAGGACATGGGAAAGCATGGTTCTCCATGGGGAGGGGAGGGGGAGTATCTCAAACTGGGAGACTTGAGGAACTGGGCAGGATGAGAATACAGAATAGGAGTGTAGGCTGTGTGTAACTCTGCTGTGTCTGGGGGAGAAAGTGCCCTCCCCAGGAAGTGGGATTTGACAGGAGGCACCCCTGACCGCCCTGTGTTAGTCAGCCTTGTGTTGGTGCCAGGGCCCCAGGCTTCTACCAAGTCATACTTTAGAGCTAGCCTCAAGCTTCCCTGTTTATCATGGAAATTAATAAAAAATAAAGTGAGCTTTCTTCAGGTTGCATCTTAAGAAGCAGTTCAACCCAATGCATTGTGGTGGACCATGCAGGAAAGGCCTTCTCTCTTGGAGGCTGGGGTGGGGGGGTTCTGAGATAATACGTGACTCAGCCGGTCATGGGGGACCCCGTCGGCTGTGACAGGCCTGGTTTTCACCCAGGGCCAGGAGCAAGGTACTAGGCTTTTGGGGGTGTGTGTGTGTGTGTGTAGTGTACACAGAAACTGTCACACCCACACCCCACATGCACCCACACCCTACATGCCAGAGCAGGGTGCAGTCATTTGTTGTCCTTATCTTAACCTTCTCACCATTTTCAGAAACACTGAGGACGTGCTGGGTCCCTAAGGACATGGTCCAGAAATGCTCAGCAGAACTACAGGGCACATTTTCAACCTGCTTCCCTTTATCCGCCCCCCATATTCGGGCATCGTGGACTCCAACCAGGTCATGTCTCTGAACAGTATTTATTTCCTAAGGGGAAGCAGGGGCTATGTCCAGCTATGTCCAGTCTCCAGCCTTGTATTCAGAAGCCCACACTGCCTACCCACAGTACCCTCTGGCATATTTGCAAGTTGCACGACTTGGTCAGGGAATTTGGGATTAATATGAGTCATTAGACGGCTACTTTCCCAAATTAAATAAGAAGCCACAACACTAAATATGATCCTGAACATTTAATGTCTGCTGTTTCAGAAGACACCTTAGAGCTTGAAGAACTTTCAGGTTAGACTTCTGCTGGTGACTGCTGGTCCTGAGGATGCTGTGTGGATGGACAAGGGCCCTGCTGGAGGGGCAGGGCCTGCAGTGTGGGAGGGAATGGGAGCCCCAGCTCTGACCTCAGCTCTGTCACTAATGGCACATTGACCACGATGAGCCACTTCCCTTCCCTAACAGGACTGGATTAGAGGGTCTCTATGGCCCCCCCAGCTCTGCTGGTCTATACGTAAATAATTAGCAGAGAATGTAAGCTGCTGATTTTCCATAGGAATTGAGGAAATCAAAACATAATTTGCAATCATGTAGACAAAGGCTTTCAAGAGTTTCTTGGTATTTACAATGTCTCTAGGCTTGAGTTCCCAACTCACTGGTGGCCCAGCCCTGACTTCAGTCCTGTGCAGATGGAGATCCAGAGCAGGAAAAACAGGGATCTCGGAGTCAGGGCCCATCAAAGTTTATCACTGAGTTTAACAAGCCTTAAGGACAAGACCCTCCCCAAGGGAAGTATGATGTGTAGATATTCATCCCGCCTCCACAGACCAACAAGAGTGTCAGGATGTGTCTGATCCTCAGGACTAAGGACAGTGAGAGGGCAGCAAACAGCCTCCTTGGCCATGGGCCTCTGTCTAGAAGGCCAGAAGAGAGAGGGGACTCCAGCAAGGTCTGAGCCAGTCTCCATCCACTGTGGGGATTCTGGGAGACCCACGTTTCATGTGACTCTGTATTTGCCTAATGTCATGGGAACGTCTATTGTCTCATTTGACTATTTTTCTCAGGCTCAGCCATGCCTCTCCACTCAGTTCTGGCTAGGCTGAACTCTACCCAGCATAAGAAAAATTTCAACCAGAACAGAATTCTGAGCAATGACTCCTTGTGTCATATAAATAGCGTCAGTGATATATACAGCGTATAAAACACACACACACACACATACACACACACACACACACACACACACACACACACCCTCCTGTGGAAATCCTCTTCAGGATCATTTGTGCAGGCACTGAGGACTTCCCTGTAGCTCAGACAGTTAAGCATCTGCCTGAAACGTGGGTTCGATCCCTGGGTCAGGAAGATCCCCTGGAGAAGGCAATGGCAACTCACTCCAGTACTCTTGCCTGGAAAATCCCATGGACAAGAGGAGCCTGGCAGGCTACAGCCCATGGGTTCGCAGAGAGTCGGACACAGCTGAGCGACTTCACTTTCATTGGCAGAGCTGCCGTGAATATAAGTGTGTGCTCCAGGCTCTCCCTCAGAGAGAGGCCGCCGTTGGAGAGGAGCTGACCCCTGTCCAGCTCCTGAGTCGCGAGGTGGGGAGGCTAAGTCGAGCTCTGCGTCCCACCTTGAGTAATGGGGTGCGGGGAGGGGGCTGTGTGGGTTGGGCTGGTGGCCAGTGGCCTACTCCTTCAACAGGCCCAGCTTCTTCAGAGCCTCCCTTCTGTGTTCATCGGACACCCCCTTTGGGGAGATCCTGACGCTGACACAGGGGGGCCGGGGCAGCTTGTCTCGGCTCTGTCCCTGGTAAGAGAGGTGCTTGGGGCGCCCCTCCTGCTCCAGGTCAGCCAGCTTGCCCACCTGGATACCCTCGAAGTCCTTCCCCGTGCCCAACGAGGCCGGGCGCGGCCGGGAATTACGCAAGACGCCGGGCGAGATCCTGTCCGGCAAGGAGCCTTTTTCCAGAGAGCTGCTGGTTTGGGGGCTGGGAGCCTTCTCCGCTGAGAGGTAGCTGCTCAGCCCGACGCCTGACCGCTCCAGGGTGCTGGACTTGAAGCTCATCTGTCTGAGGCCAGGGACGCCGCTCTCCTGGAGGGTCAGCCCGGAGTCTGGCTTTTGCTGGGTCAGGGGACTGCGTGCCCGCGGGCCCTTCGGGACAGGAATTGGCGTGGATTTGGCAGCTGGAGCTGTCCCCTGAGTGGGCTCCTGGGAGGGAACCAGAACCTTGTCTGGAGAAGGCGGCTGGGCCAGAGCTGGCGCTTTCCCGGGAGAAGGGCCCCGCGTGGGTGCAGGGGCCAGGGCCCTTCCGGGGACCTGGGCTGGGGCCGGGGACACGGCCTGAGCGCCAGTCTCCTTGAGCCTGACGGAGGGCCTGCTTAAGCGGGGGCTGGGCTCCTCCTGGTCCTGCGGCAGCCCCAGCTTCTCCAGCGCTTCCCTGCGTGCTTTCCTCTGCTCCTGCAGTGAGGACGAGGCGGGGCTGGGGTCCCCGGGCGCAGCCTCCGAGCGGCGGGACAGCCGGTTTGGGGGGTCGCTGTGGAAACTGCTGCGGCTGCTCTTCAGGATAATGTTTGGCGGCAGCTTCCGGGGCTTAGGGGCCGTGATGGGGGCCGGCCGGCCATTTGGATGGCCCCCAGAAGGGACGGCCGCATCTCTAGCGCCTGCATCCCGAGAGCACACCAGGGGAGGAGGCCGAGGTGGTGCAGGTTCCCCGGTTGAGCCTTTCTCACTGGCTTTTTGGGACATGGCCTCTGGAGCCGGCTCCCTGTTTCTCTGGGAGCTAAGTGATGGGTGGGCCTGGGGCCTGGGGCTCAGCTCCCCTGGTCCTCTGGGCAGGCTGCCTTGGCCACGCTGCTCGGGCTGGGCGTCCTGGAAAGCCTCCGGTGGGGGGATGAGCGCCCCGGCCAGCTCAAGGGCAGCCTCTGGGGGCGTGACCAGCGCGTGGCTGGGCTCAGGGCTCTGGCTGACCCTCTCTGTCTCAGGTCCCGAGACAAGTCCCTCGGATCCCCCTCGATTATGGCTGTTAGTCAGGGTGGTGCTTTTTCTGAGGTTCTGGTTTCTGCCGATGTGGATATTTCTGGGGAGGCTGTTGGAGCCAGACCTGAGGCCCAGGCTTTGGGGCCTGGGGGGATGAGCTGAGCTGAATGGAGTCACTCTTTTTGGCTCCGGTCCTCGGACAGTTGTCTCCTCTGGATGTCCTGTAAGAGTCAAGGAAACAAGTGAAGAAGAGTAGGCAGTGAGGACCCTGATGTCAAGGGGAAAGAAAGTGCTTCCCAAACTCTGATCTCCGGTCCTCAATGGACGGGTTTTTGGCTGTCTGCTGTTGCTGTTTGTTCTTGAAGGACAACACTTTTGTCTAGATATCATTTAGACTGACAGATCAATCCTAGCAGATTTCTTTCAGCCAAGGATTAGCATTTCCCAGTGGCTGGGGAAAGGGCAGCACAGACAGCTCTGTGTCCCTGACTCAGGCTCTTCCTAACCTCTACAGATGCAGGATGGCTGGGATTCAGGACAGTCCCTCTCGCCGTCCTGGGGCTCCCGGGTAACTGGGTCCAGTGGGAGCACCGAGCTTGAAGAGCATCAACAGGTGATGTGCTCCTGCCCCACCAGGCACCTGCCTTCCTCCACCTCCACTGTCTGTAAGCGCTTGGATGACTCTGGAATGGCCACAGCTGTCCCTGCGCCACAGTGTGATATGGGCTCTTCCCTTCCAGCGAGGAAGCGTAAGCATCAGGCCCACTGGGCCAGGAAATCAGCGCCAGGCAGCAGGGGCACCCACGTCCCCACTTCCTGCTGTATCACCACAGACAGAGGGTCTAACATATTGTCAATAAATTTTTGCCAAGTGAATGAAGAAGTGTTTGCAGTCCTAATACCAATAGGACTGTCTTCCTGGGATGCATGGCTACACTTACATGCCACCTTTGTCTCCATCTCCTGAGCCTCATCATCATTCCACGCTCTCTCACAAGGCCCTCAAGATGCCACCCACTGAAACTAAGGGAGCCCCTCCCTCTTCTTATCTCCTGCAGTCTCATCCTCTGGGTCACCCAGATTAGCTCCCCAGACTGACTCAGGTTTTCCAGAGCCAACCACCCACCCCTCCCTGGTTCTCTCCCCCACCGGTGGTCAGATGGCTTTAGAATGTCTCCAGAAGAGAGTGGGAGCCGGTCAAATCCCCTTCCCTCCCAGACTTTTGATACTTCACACAACGACACAAGAAGCTGTCTTGGACAATCCCTCCTTCCCTCCAGGGACAAGGCTTTATTCTAGCCGCAAGTAGAGAGAAGAGTGCTTGTTCCTTCTTCTGCCCATGACTCTTAGAGCAGAGGGCAGACGAGAGGGAAAGTGGCCAGGAGGATGTAGTGTTTTTTGGTTGTTTAGACAGTCTGTCTTACCCTGGGGGGCAGGCTGGGTCAGGGGAAGTGCTCGGGGACCTCGGGGAGTTGTGGCTTGCTCAGACTCGCCAGTGGACAGCCCGCTGTCAGCCTCGGCGTCCAGGGAGCCAATGGTTTCCTCCAGGAATAGCAGACACTCCTTCTCTTCAGCGGACAGGAAGTCGTAGCTGCTGTCACTCTGGAGTGAGGAGAGGGCGGGGGAACTGTGACAAGCAGCTCTCCAGAAACTGGTGGGGCCCAAGAGCCACCCTGCCTTGGGGAAGGAATGCCGAAGAGCCGGACACCTCCCCACCGTGCCACTCTGCAGACCTGCTGGAGCTGCTTCCTGAAGCCGCGAGCACCGGGAGGGCAGAGCCTGTCGGGCTGTGGTCCCCCTGGCACCCAGCTCCGACAGCTGGGCAGGCCGACTGCAAAGGGCTTTTCATGTGCTAAATCCTGGGTGGAACGCTTATGGGCACAGATTAGAAGGTCCCGGGTTCTAATTCTACTTCTTCTGTGTGACCTATGTCAAGTGCTTCAACTTTGTGTGTAATATAATGATTTGATTTTAAACCTGAAGCAATACCTAAACTGGTATTGCTTTGAACTTTTCAAAGTACTTTTGCATCCTTGATGTGGCACGTCAAGGACAGTATGAGGACAAACAGGAAAGACAGTCAACTACTCGCTGCCAGGCCAATAGGAACAGTGGCACGACTAGTCACAGATAAATTCACTAAATAATTTATACTTGACTTTGAAATGCATTCCATGCAGAATTTTTTTCCCCTTGTGTATTTACTTTCCTGATGGCATTTGGCTCTGGCTAACATTAAAAAAAGTGTGCATTTCTTAAGCAAATATTAACTTAAGGGAGGAAGGTGGACAGACTGGTATGGGCTGTGGGGAGAGCAACTGAGTATTAAATATTATGCAGAAATTGAGATACATGTTTTTATTATGAAAAAGCACACAGCCATGTTTGGAAGAACAGGTTATGGCCATTTCAGATGCTTACTGCCGTGTTCTGCAAGGCCAGGAAGATCCATGGAATAGTTGCTCTTCAAAGTTGAAGGTTGAAGGGAGGACGAAAAGGGCAGATGGGAACACAGGAGATTTGGCCCGAGTCCCTTCTTAGCGTCTCTACCCCTCTTCCTAATGTTTGAATCACTGCAGTTATATATTCTTCAGACCCATTCAGATGGCCAGGAAAGATTTTGAGAAAACCCTGAAAATATCTCAGGCAGAGGGGAAATGGTTGTTGGGATGACTTTTCCAGTCCCTCAGGCTCCATAAGGAGTCATCTGTCAGTTGAATGAGGGAGACCTAGATGTCAAGGAAGTCCCAAATATAGCCCTTAGAAGCCTTGATGCTGGCTCCAGAGGTTCTGTGAACAAAATCTTCTTTATTGCCCTCTTCTTCCTAATAATAGTCTTGCCAAGACTCCAGCTCTGAATTTTTCCTTTGTAGACGATTCATTCTGACAACCTTTAATTCCTGCCACATTCTGTGTCCAATGCTATGTAACTATTCATGTTGGTCTCTGCCTAGCAGACAGGAAGCTATCTCTGTCGCCCCATCATCTAAGGTCAAAAAGAAATTATATACAGATTGTCTGCACTTTCAGCTTTTGTGCTTATGTGCTGCTTTTTCTACTCCATTTTTACATGTCAAAACTTACCAACTATATTAAACATCTTCAACATTCAGTAGAGATCATTATGATCTTTAAACTTTCAAATATCTCTACATACAGGATATAGAGCAATCAAGTATACATTATCAAGGGTTATCATGTATATGATGAGCACCCATAGCAAAAGAATGCTTACATTTGGACATAGGGCAGACTTATTCTTTGACACCAATCTTATAATAATTGAGATTTAAATCCATGCTCAGAAAAACTACAGTTGATTACATGTCACAGATAAACACAATGATTTTGGAAGATTCTCAATCCCTACTTACAGATAGGCTATTTCTTTTCTAGATAGAGGCAGGTACTAAATGCTTTACCTTGTATTTCATTTATTCCTCTCAAGAACCCTAAGAATTCGGTATTAACATTATCCTCATCTTAAAACTGAAACTTGGAGAAATAAAGTAATTTGCCTAAGATAATGGAGCTTCTAAGTAGAGAACCCAGATCTGCTTGGCTCCAGAACCCAGGCTCTTAGCTGCTCTGTGCTCTTTGACCTTTGTTAAAGACTGAAGTGAGGCTGTTCACTGCAGAGGACTTGAGGAGTCCACAAGGATCTACATTCTGTTTCCACCGTGGCCTGAGATCACTGACCCATTCTCGCATCTCAGTTAAACCTCCCAACCTAATGCGAACTGGGAAAAAGTCTCATTTGTCTTATTGCTCTCTGGGGTTGTCCCACCCTATTCTCTATAGAAGCGGGGGTGACTCAGAGGCAAAATCCTGCCTGGCATGATTCACTCCCTGACGAGGAAGATGAAAGACAAGGAGCGGTGAGCAAGGCCGGTGGTGGTGGGCAGGGCAGGGCAGGGCAGGGCAGGGAGCAGAGAGCGGGCCAGGCTGCAGACAGAGTACGTACAGATCCAGAGCGCGTGGAGGTGGTGCTCATCATACTGTCGCAGCTGCTGACGCGGGTGGTGGGTTCCAAGCCAGGCCCTGCTGGCCACAGCTCTCTCTCGGGCATCGCCTGAAGCAAGGTGCAGGGGTGGTGAAAGGGGCTCCCAGAGGGGAAGTGAAGGGAAGTGGAGAATGTCCCAGGCTGGGCCTGAAAAGAGAAGAATCAAAGCCACGTGTGAGCTGAGCCAGGCTCCAGCGAGGCTCTGCACAGGCCCTGGAGCAGCGTGGTACCCGGGACACGAAGCAAGCAGAGAGCTGGAAGGGGCCATGCTCAGCCACGCCCAGACCCCGACCCCAGCCTCACCAGGGACACACAAGCTGGACACGCACATGCAGGAGGACGGACTTAGGTGGTGGAGAAGCAGTTCAGCAGAAGGGAGCCTCCATCATTTCTCTCTCTTTTTTTCTCTGGACCAGGGAACTTAACCTAGATTTTCATTACTAGCATTGGTATTACAGGGGTTAAACCTTGGGTTCTGGAGAGTAGCTAGATCTGGGTTCCAATTCCAGTTCCACCATTTACAGTGATGTGATTTGAGGCAATTTACTCTGAGTCTGTTTTTCCTCATTAAATAGGGTTAATAATAAGATTAAATGAGAACAGTTAGCACAGTTTAGTTGGTAATAAATTAGCAAATGCTTAAGGAATAAATGAGTAACTACTACTGTTTTTGTAATAAGAAAAAGACAAGATCCAACTTGGATCAAAGTAGACTGAAGCAAGGGAAACAAAAGTTTTTTTTTTTTTTAAAGGAACAAGGGCATAATAGTACCTACCTCAAAGGGTTGTCATGAATTTATAATGAGATACTCCATTTAAAACACTTTGTGCGGTGTGCGGCCCTGTAATTGTCAGCTGCTACCATATCCACATCATCAACATCAACGCGATGACTCCCACCACAGCCACCATCATTGCCCAAGTCTGGGAGGTGTGTGCAAGGCACCCAGTGGCTGACACAGGCCTAGTTCCTCTCTCATGCATCACCCCCTCTGAGGCTGCACTTATTCCCAATGAGGGTCCCTAACCTGTCTTGCATGAACAAGAGCAAAGTCCTAGGTGGCTTCCTTCCAACTCCAACTTGTAGGGAAAGAATGGCTTCAATTTCACTGTGCCAACAGAAATAGCAAAGGAAGGTTAGTGCCATCTATCTTCAGGAAGTCCCGGGGTTTTTCATATTCCCGTTCATGGGGAAAACTCCACCAGAGTTGGAAAGGCCAAAGGTGACTCTCCTATGTTAAAATGAAATTCTAGAACAATTAAGATTAAAAGACAGTTCCAAGATCAAGAAAGGACATGGGGAAAGAGTTTAGAATTAGAATACAGTTTGTTGGATTCTGAATCCATGGTTTCCTCATAGTGTTGTGTCTTATTTTCTACCATCTTTCCTACTCTCCCAGTACGAGGTAAAGTGTCCTGGAAAATCAAATTTTATTTGACATATTGAGATTTGGGGTTTAGATTCTAGGGCAGGTTATCTTTTCAGCCTGTACCAATAATTGCTTCCAATGCCAAAGTCAGGTTTGGGCTGTGCTAGGGGTGCCTGTCAACCACCTCGAGCTGACAAGCACAAGGTCTCTCAGAGCTCCTCTCCTGGCAGGGAGGAGGCCCTCAAGTGCCACAGGTAGGGAGGGGCAGAACAATGGAGAAGGAAGAGGGACGATCTCTTATGAGCAAGGTATGTGTAGTTCATGAGGATCTAGAGCCTCTTAGGAGAGACAGAGGGGACCAGAGGGGACAGAGATGAAGCCCAGTGATGAATCAACCCGGGTGAAGATAACTCCTGGGTTTCCTTCACGAGTTCCTTCACTAGTTCCCCATTATCCAAAACCCCAAAGAAACAAATGTGAGAAGTCATGCGAGATGAGGTTCAGTCACCTCAGCTAGCCTCTCCATTAATGACTGACTAGGTCACTGACTTCCAGAAGTACTAACTCATTTCTAACATTCTGTAGGTTTGAGACCAGCAAAGAGGATCATCTCTCATCTCTCATTCATTAGCCTAGGCACACGGAAGGCACTCAAAAAATGCTAGATGAAGAAACCTGTCGTTCATTCTAGAGTCTGCTGAGTTGCACGATTGGAAGGTTGCTTTTTTTGGCTTCTAAACTATTACTGCAAGCTCTTTTTCAAATATTTTATTTCCCAGAATATATGTGGTTTAATGGAGTTTTGGGAAACTCTTTCAGTTACAGTAACATTTATTAGCACCCAGTTGGCCCTGGGCATGCAAACTTTACTAAGACAAAGGTATTGTTTCCAAGAAGTCAGTGTAGATCCAAGGGTCTGTTTTATTGGCTCTAGCTTTCCTATCTGTAACATTGGGGCAGTAACTGTTAAAAGTGACTCACTGTAATTAATGGAATGTTCTCTGTGAACAGATATGCAGATGCTGCCTTTTCCTTTCAGAAAAAAATTACTGCCTTGTTCTTCCAAGCACGTGTTGGACTTTACAGGGGTTTGCTAGCCTCTCCTTCCTCCCAGGGCAGCCTAACACACTCTCACTTTGGAACCAAGGATGGCTTGAAGCAGCTGGAAGAGATAGAAACAATATGAACAGCACTGCTTCAAAAAACACAGCAGGGTATAGCTTATAATGTGCTTTCAGATATGCTAATTGAGTTTTTTAAAAAAACTGCTAGCTTAGGCAGGATGGGATATTTTCTCCACTTGACAGCTAAGAAAGCTGGGGTTCTTTCTAACTCCCCTTCCTATGGGAAGTAGGAAACGATCCATATAACTGCATCTATGGGACAGCCCGTGGCTCCCAGCCCTTCTAGAGGGTATCACAAAGGCTTTCCACACGCAAGAGGGCCATGTACCTAAAGAAGGACCATTGGCCACCCCTGACTAAACACTGAAAACCCCAGGAACATCCTCTTTTGATTCAACTTTATGCATCCAGGCCAGCTTTTTGTCCCAACAACAGATATTTCCAGAGTAAAGAAATGACATCAACTGTTGCTGACACTCAAGTAAGCACAACAGAATCACCACAGAGATTAACCTGGACCTGAAACCAAAGCTGAATGATCCCCAGTGTGCTTCCACCTCCCTTCCACACCTAGTGTTCTGATCCCAAACGTCTGAACCGTGAAGATGTCTTCTCTTCTTCCCACTCCCTCTCCAGGCTGACCTGACCTGGATGCTGCACTTCCTTCCAACAACTTTACAACCTTGAAACTTGTGGGCTGTTTCAGGGCAGCCATTTTGAAACCTGAGGTATTTCTACTTGATAAGCGGAACAACAGGCAAAACACTCAAGGTGAGAGTTTGGTATCTTTGAACACTTGACCTCTTTGGGCAGCTTGAGGGGAGAAAGGAATGGATTAAGAGATGTGCACAGCCTGTATCAGCGTCACCCGTGCAAAGGCATATTAAATATTAACCACTCCCTGAAGCCAGCCAAGCCTTGGAGGAGAGTAAAAAAAATGGCATGTGGCATTCTGGCATCTGGACGGGGTGGGGTGGGAAGAGGGCTCCAGCCCACTCCTGTTTGGCTCCTCTGTACCTCCTGAACAGTCTGAAGGCTCCCTGGTCACCCTCCTCCCATGAAACCACCCCCAAATCCTCTAAGAACTCATCTCTCTCCCTAGTGGTCAAAGAGGTTTCCGATCTCCAGGTCTCCAGGTCTCCAGGTCTCCTGCTGACCAGTCAAATGTGCCTTGGACTGGAGAACATCCTAAGGAGGCCAAGAAAACTAAAAGTTGCGCTGTATGCGTATCCCTCTCCACAAGCACATGGGCAGGTTTCCATGTAAGTTTAGGCAATTATATAATTGCCTCTTTCACCAGTAGATTTGAGGGAGAGTGGGGTGGAAACATCCCCTGTGCAGAGGGGCTTTGCTTGACATCACAGCTCATCCTTATTGCTGACAAGGTCACCATCTGTGGCAGCCCTCAGTCACTGAGCTTGGTGGGCTGGTTCTGGGGTGTGGGCTGAGCTAGAGCCTAAAGGTTCTGGTGCCAGGAAGAAACCCAATTCAGGGCTTGCGTGCCAGGCTCTGGGATCCTGGCACTAGGTCTTCCCACTTCCTTTTTCTGGAAGCAGGAGGAAAAGGCGTCAAGTTAAGGAACAGAGTGTTAACTCCCACAAGCTAGAGGATGGAGAGCTGACTTGTTACCCTGACTTGGCTTCTACACCCAGCGTCCGTGTGCGGGGAACACTGCCGCACATATTGCCAGCAGGACACCTGAAGGAATGCAAAGAAAAACCACGGCACTGGTCTGGTTCTCCTCTCTGGATCCTGCCACACTGCTTCGGCCTGAACCCCTCTCGGAATTCCTACTAGACTTGACATGCTATGGTGAAGTATTAACGTGGGTGGGGCCCTGGCACAGCTGAGTAGCTTCCAGTTTGCCAGGCCTTGTGTCTATTAACAGGCAAAGTAAGAAATTTAATGAGGTTGAACTCAAATAGGCTTGACTTTGCAACTAGATTATCCATGGGCTTCCAAAGATGAGCTGGTAACCTGACTTGGAGTTTTTCCAATGTAACCAAACCTCACATCACCTTACAAACAACCTAGCACGGCTCACACCTTCCACACCCTTCCACAAGGAGCTCCTTTATCACGCGCACGCGCACACACACACACATACACACACACACAGAACACACACACTGCACCTTTTATTTAAATAAAGATAGACATTGAGTTGATAAAGCTATGGGAAAATTTCCTGTTAGAAATGCAATGGAAAACCAAAGCACTGTTCCTCCCCGGGGCGATTTTCCATTTCTACTCCGTCTACTCCAACTATTCTCTTCCAAAATCACAACTCAATTTCAATTGCTCAGAGATGGAAATTTCTAAAGCAAACTTGTTTTCTTTTCTTGTTGCCTGCACAATATGCTTTACCCAACCTAAACAGGCAGATGAAAAAAAAAAAAAAAATGCATCTCAGCCCCGGTCTTCAGAAAAGCACACCCGTCTCCAGCTATCAACCTACTCGGGTGCACTTAAGGCTCAGAGAGTCGAGGAAGAGAGAGGCAAGTCCCCCAGTTGCGTTATAAAGGGCTCAACTCTGTAGCTCTGGCTTCCACGAAGACCCCGACTCCTGCTGCAGAGTAAGCAATAGTTGGTTAGTAATTAACTCACCTTCAATGGGCGGGTGACTGAAGAGAGGAAAAGAAGAGAATGCCCTCGTATTGCAAAGGGCGGAGACGGAGAGACAGCGTGCCCGGTCTCCTACTGTTTTCTTCTTTTGACCTCTTTCTGACTTACCTGGACAGGTAAAGGCTTCATCCGCGCGGCCTCACCCCGCCCTGCCCGACTCCCAGCCAATCCCAGGCCTCCCTCCCCACGTCCGCTTCCAGCTGTTTCCCCGGGGAGGGCGCGGGCGGGGCGGCTCGCTTAGCCAACCGCCTCTGGCCCCCCTTCCCTCGCCGAGAGCCAATAGCGAGCCTTTGAGCCCAGACGAGGGCCGGCAGGAGGAGCCGCTGGTTTGGGCAGAGGCTTGGACGAGAGGAGGCATGTTATCCCTTTCAGGCGTCTTGCTACAGAGAAACGCAGTCCAGTGGGCAGTGTGCTTTTCCATGCGCCTGTTTGAAACTTGAGTTTCTATCTGTAACTGCCTTCTTCGTCTCGAAGTATTCTTCAAAGTAAAACTCCTTTGTCTTTTCCAGTCTTTCAGAGTCACTGTCGTCCTTAAGTGTTTTCCTCGCGGCTCCACTCAGGACCACGGGTGAAGGCGTCTAAGGACAGGGGCGCCGGCGCTGAGACACCGTGACAAAGACCTTCTGGGGGAAATAAAACTGCTTTCTCTCTCAAGAGGTCCCTATTCTGAGGGGAAAAGGGACCGGACAGCCTGGAAAGAGAGAACACGTACGCCGTCATTTGGGTCTCTGGTCTTTTAGCTGTGTGTGGAAGGTAGCAATGAATATGAAGAAATATAAACGAAGGAAGCTACCAATCAGTTCTGCAACTCGTATCTGCTTCCAATGGCAGATTTCTGGCACCTGTAGTTAAAACATCCGGAAGAAAGTAGGGCGAAGACACTAGGTGAAAGAATCTAAAGCTTTCAGGAAGGAATCTTCCTCCAGGAATGGCGATCACTTTCACCAGATATACCTTTTGCGTGGAAACTGGATCTTCCTGGATATATGTTATCCTCGATACCAAAGGGCAGGAAGGAAAATTAAAATCAATGCACATAGTAATTGCCAACGTTTTGTTAAGCTCTTGTTATGCACTGGGAATTGTGCTGTGCTAAGCATTTTCATACATCATTTCATTTATGATGAAAAGTAGGCACTATTAATATACAAATTTTTACAAAAAAGAGAAATGACTTGCTCAAGATCATGTAGCTACGACATGGCAGAGCACGGATTTCAACTTAGGCAGTATGGTGTCAAGTTTGCCTTGTATCAATACGATGCCAATCAGTCTCTATTTTGGAGAAAAATCCTAAGTAGGAAACGTGAAGTACACAGATAATGTGCAGGTCTAATTCTAATAACTAGATTCACCCTTCTTGCCTCATTTCTGTCTTGCAGCTGTTCCTGTCCTTTAGAACAAGAATGACACAGGGCTTTCATCTTTTCCCTGTGTGATCTCTGCGGTTGTGATCATTGCAGGAGGGCAGTGATCATGGGGCTAACTTACAGAAAAGGCAGGCAGGACTAGTGAGGAGAGAGGAGGTTTGAGGAAGCCTGGAATAGCTCAGCACCTGTCAGTGCATGTGAATAGCAGAGCTGACCGAGCATTTAGTCAGCTGACTGATGATCTCTCCTCCTGATGTGTCATTCAAATATGTATGATGTCATAATACTAACAAAACAGGAAGGGCATCTCCAACTCAGAAGTTCAATGCAACCAGAGTTACACCCAAGGATTCAGTCACTGAAGCTGATCCAGCTTCATAGGTGTGCGGTTTGAACATTTGCTAAAAAAAAAAATGAATTGACTTATGAGCATTAACCTCAAAGATGAGAGGAGGCATAGTCTTGTTTGTGAACAGTTTTTCAGTTTATAGTAAAATTAGAATAATTAGGAAGAGCCCCTATCTTTTCCCAGGTAGAAGTAGGGACATAGACAAAATGATCTTACTATTGCGCTCTTTCCTTTTTTAAAAAAATTTCTTTTTGAAAATTATGAAATATTTCAGATACTTTGGCATAGCAGACAGCACTGTACCTAATACCCAGTTCAAGAAATAGAACATTAACATTACAGTTGAGGTTTCTTACAAACTTTGCTCCTCACTCCTTCCTGCCTCCTCAAAACAGACACACACTCCAGCTGAAACAAATCGCTATTCTGAATGTGGTGTTTTCCATTCTCCATATCTTTAAATGTTTTCCTTGGAATCTTGCTTGATTTTTCTTTGCTTTCTTTACTTTGGTGCAGGAGAAATAGCAGGTCTCTGAGTTTCCCAGAGAATGGGGAAGGAGGCCTGGACTATGGGAAGGAGAGGATTTCAAAAGTTAGAAGCAGCTGAGAGACTTAAGGCTCCGTGGTTGATGTAGGTCATCACTTGAGAGGAGCGGATGTTGATTATTTGTATGTGAATTCCTGTTTGATGACCTGACTGTGGAATCTAATTACAGTCCAGGGCACCGGACTCATCGGTCTCCTCACTCCTCCGTCCTTGCGTGCTGCTGCGGTACAGTCATCTTCTCGACTGTCAGAAACTTGTTTATTTCCTTTTTCAGTACAGCCTCCTCTTTGAGGAAACTCACTCTTTCCTCTTTGGGCTCATTATAAAGTTGGACTTCCTGCAAAACACAGTGGACCTCCATCTAACCATTCATGATACTTACCTATTCACATTACAGCCACATCCTAGCAATGCCTTTCTTCTCCTTTTCCTCTCCAAAGGAAAAAAAAATGAAGTCACTTTGAGCTTGTATTACCACCTACCCTAGGAAACACTGGGTGCCCACTATGTTCACAGTATAGGGCACAGTACTACATGCTAGGTCTCTGAAAGAACCTCTATTGGGGAGAGGGAAGGTTTTATTCCTCAAGTAGTAGCTAGAATTTGCTTTCAAGTGAAAATAGTTGGGAAAGGATTCAGATGAGGATGATTATAATTTGACTATGAGCCAAGGAATTGATAGTGAATTCCATGTGGAATTAAGGGATCAAGTAGATCACCAAGTTCTCACCAAACTGATATTAGTGTTAAGCCTGAAATAATTAGATGGGAGCTAAAAGGCATAATTAAGTGGATTCGGATGAAGTTTTGAAATGACTTAGTTGTTAGGTAATTGCTCATAGTAACTTTTTTCCCGCTTGGCCCACCTACCATGAAAACTTAGAGGATTCAGTAGTCCTTTTCTTCCCAGGACTAATAAAAGTTTGGGGGCTGAGATCATCTAGTAGCATCAGTGAGTTTTGTAAATCCATGAAAACTTTGAATTGATGATATTTTACATTGCAATAATTTAAAACATATCTGGCAATGGGCTGACCAATTTCTATTATCTTTCTTAAAATGCTTCTAACTTTCTTTATGTTCTTCATTTATTATTTAGATATCTATATTGAAAAATTGTTTAATAAATAAGACATATCAGGTTTAGCAGTATTTACAAAGAACTGTAGCTTAAAGCCATATTCAACCCTGGACAGTGTTAGGGAGCATAAATTGATAATATTTGGATCTCCCAGCAAGCTCTTAATAGCTCTACACAAAATCATTTGTTGAAATTGTCAATTTAAGAATTTATTTTGCTGCTCAAACTTATTATTTTTTGGAATACTTTTCACAGAATTTGCATTAAGTATATTATAACTGTAATACAGTAATATTTATTTTTTCATTGTTAGCAGTACACAGGGCCATAGACTACATACTTACATAATGATGACAGTTATCAGCCAGATAGATGGATGAGACTGTAACCATTTCCCTCTGATCTGCTAGTGTCTAGGTACTCAGAAATGTAAACTTTAACTTTCGACTCCACATGTTAGAATTTTCTGCTCTTGCTTTTTTTTTTTAATCATTGGATTCCTTGAAGTCACTAACATCTCTTCACAAGAAGGTTGGCATTGCGGATCAATCAACGTGGCAGAGTAGGAGGATGGGGAACTTCCCTCCCCTTGTGAACACATCAAAAAGAAATGTACATGTGAAGCACTTCTCTCTGAAAACTAACTGGAAGTTGGCAGAAAGATTTCTGTAAACCAAAGCTGTAAGAGAGATACACACATAATCAGATAGGAAGGAAGACAAAGTGATCATGTTGGAACTTGTGCCCCTGGAAAGGACTCGGGGGGAAAGGGAGATTATGCAGGCAGAGACCCACTTTGGGGAGTAAGTGGTTTGGGCCACAGACTGGGCATCCCAGTCCTGGGGTCCTCCCCAGGGGAGACGAGACCCCTTGGCTGGTCATAGGAAGAGCGGGACTAACAGGAGGGCTGAGGAAAGCCTGAACCCTGCTCTTGAGGAGTGCATGCATGCTGACTTGTCCTCAAGGCAGAGTTATTAGGATGGAATGAAGACTGTCCTAGTGACTGCTGGGTTTCCCCTGACCACTTCAGCACGTGCCCCAGCCTGAGCCAAGTGAATGGTTCAGTCCTGCTTACTCAATGTTGCAGCTTGGCACAATCACAGAAAGAAGAATAAGAAAAGCACAAGCACATGGATACTAAATAACTTACTACTTAAAAACTAGTGGATCAATGAATATATCAAAGAGGAATCAGAGAATCGTTTAAGATAAATGAAAATGGAAGCAAAGCTTTCCAAGATCCATGAGATGCAGCAAAAACGTTCTAAAAGGGAGGTTTATGATGATACAGGCCTTTCTCAAGAAACAAGAGAAAATCTCAAAGAAACCTACCATCTAAAGGAATTAGAAAAAGAACAAGAAGCCCAGAGTCAACAGAAGAAAAGAAATAATACAGATTAGAGAAGAAATAAATAGAGATCCCAAAACGATCAAAAAGATCAGTGAAATTGAGCTGTATTTTTTTTAAGATACCATTGATAAACCTCTAGCCAAAGTCATCAATAAGAAAAGAGAGAAGACTCAAAATCAGAAATATTGGAAGACTATTGGGACAAAACGAATTGTTATATACCAATGAATTGGACAACCTATAAGAAATGGACAAATTTCTAGAAACATATAACCTGCCATGACTGAATGAAGAAGAAACAGACAATTTGAACAGACTGATTACTAGTAGTAAAATTGAATTTGTAACCAACCAACCAAACAAACAAACAAAAACCTCCCAGCAAACAAAAGTCCAGGACTG